TTCATTGTCACCACTGAAGAAAGTGATGGTTCACTCTCCTGGATTACAGCAAATACCTCCTCCTAACTAGCTCCTTGCCTTCCACGCCTACCTTGAGTCTATTCTCAAGGCAGCAATCAGCTCCAGGAAGTCCATCAAAACAGCCCAGACCACAGCACCCCTCAGCCCAGCCTGCAGGGCTCAGTATGTCCTAAAGAAACCAGAATTTTCAGCGCCCTTCACGGCCTTACAAGTAAGTCCCTGTTTCCATTTCCTCCCCTCTCCAGACCTCACTATCCACACTGGCTTTCCCTCAGGTGGACCCTGCTTCTCCTGGTTACGGCCATTCCCTAACCCTCTTCACTGAGGATCTGAAATTAAGTTCATGAAAAGTGAGGGAGAGATCTTATAAAGAACAGGACAGAACAGGACAGCATGCCTGGATTGTGGCAGCGTGCTTGGGGAGGGGGTGACCACACACTCACAGCATGTGTGAAGCACTAACTGCAAAGTGGGAATGCCCCAGGAGCCAAGCGCCACCTGCATGCACCTGGGCATGTCTTCCGTTCACTGGGGTTATTTCCCATCCTCATATGAAGGTCCAAGGAACCTGACCCTGACAGTCTGTGAAGCCAAGATGTTAAATGGGTTCCAAAGGATCACCTGTTACACCTATTACACTCTGCTTTTTTAAATATCCAATTTAAAACCTTCAGGGAAAACTTCAACTAAATTAAACTCCTCTTCTGTGAGGACCTTAATACTTCCAGGTTGCATGCAGAGAACTTATTCTCTTTTCTCCAAGTGAAATCCACTCATGTTGGTGACACTAACACCCCCACCCCCAAGCTCAGGAATCTGCCGTGGTCCCTGGGGATCAATGGCTGTAGCTGTGGGGTTTCCTGATTCCCTACTCATACAAGGCACACACTTTCATTTTTAAGATAAAGGTCAGCACAGGAAAATGCCAATTCCTGGAAGGAACAGACAGACAGACTGAGGACAGATGACAATCTTTAAAAACTGTAATGAGACCCAACAGTTTTGAAATGGTGCAAGAAAATGCTGCAAGTAATGACCCCTTCCTCTAAAAAATGCTCCCACACTAACCTCAGGCATGCTGCACTAATGTCAACCTATGCAGCAAGAGCAAATTAAAGCTGTAGATGGGTGTTGGTCACGTGACCACGGGTGAGGCGAGCGCCTGACTATTCAGGGCCCCATGCCATCACAGAATCCTCGCTGGTAGAAGACAGCAGCAGAAGAGAAAGCATCAAGGTGGCAGTCTCACAAGAGCTCAGCAAATGTGGCCAGCTTTGAAGATGGGGGAAGGAACCTGCAGCTAAGGACCACCAGCAGCCACCTGAATCTGAAAATGATGGGGAGACTCTTGCCCTGGCCCGCAGAAGGCAAGCCGTTCTTCCCACAGTTCAGCATTCGAGAGACTCGGCTGAGACCCCTGACCTCTGTGTGGTGAGACACCGTGCCGTTACCTCCCAGGATCTTGGCAATTCTTAAGCTTGCAATAGGAAATGAATGCAGGCCCACACTTGCCACGCCATCAGACCATCCACAGCCTGCTCCTAACCAATGGTCTGTGTGAGTCTAGGAAGGTCCTTGGTGAGGAGAAAGCTCACTGCTCCCTTCCTCACAGGCCTTCTCCACTCCTCCATGTTTCCTTAGGGGAGGAGGAAGCGGGACTGGTCTAATGGCTGAACTTTGTATAAACAAAGGGACATACTAGGGTCAACCCCTTTCCTTCTAGGAGTGAGTGGTTCTTCCAAGGGTGGCCTCCTCACCAGGTGACCCTACAAGGAAACTTGTCCCAGCCTGCAGTGGGTTAGAAAAGACTGTCTCCTTAGGATCACCAACACTCAAGACTTGCTGATTTCTGCCTTTCACATCAGCAGTCACAAAGATGCTGTATCCAGCTCTCGAGGCCAGTGCCTTTTGATTTGTTCATTTGTTGGGGGGATATTATCTAATGGAAACCTCCCCCATTAAAATCCAAAGTCAATGCATGCCCCAATGGATCATGATGAAGAACAAATGAGAAAATGTGATACCCAGAAAAGAAGCAGGAGAAGGAAAGAGAAGAGGAGGAAGAGGGGGAGGAAGATGAGGAAGAGTGCATACACAGAGATGTATGTTGATTGACTGACAGAAGTCAACACTATTACATACACATTAAATACCAGCGGACAGGCGTCTATGCAAACATTTATCCCACCGCCTCTTCCTAGAAGATGACAATCACACCATCTCCCATGGTTTAATGACTGATTGTGGGGGCGGATGATATAAAGGACACAGCTGGTGTGCCAAGTCAGGTCATCAGATTCCAGAACCATCCCTCCAAAGTGGCCTCGGTGTACCTGTTTAAGTGTAAATGTTAAGTGTACTCAGCAAATGCCTGCTAACTCACACAAGGGGCAGAATAACTCTAGAAGTAAGGCTCTCTGGCCAGCAATATGTGTAAACAAGATGACTTTACCGCCAGAGGCTCTACAGCCCAGGGAGAACATGAGCAGGCCAGGACAGTGGGTGAGGGCAAAATGAAAACAGTGAGAACTGCGGACCCCAGGCTCCCTCTCTACACTCTGAGGGCCAGCAGCATGCAAAGGTCAGCAGCATGCAAAGGTGCTAGGGGACAAAGGCAAGGATTTGAACTCAGGCATAGACATGACACACTCACCCATGTGCTCGGCAGACTGTTCTGACTCTCACTAGACGCAGAGATGTGGGTAAAGAAGCACCTTGGAGTGTGTTCCCTCACCTGTGAAATGGGACTTTCCCCTTCCCAGACCTTTGACGATTACCCAGAACACTCAGAACAGTGCTTTACACAACATGGGTCAGCATCAAACAATTGCTGACTTCCACACTGTCAGCAGCAGTGACGCTTCCATCAAGCGACCATTCATGGAGTGTCTCTGAAAACCAGGGACCGTCAGAGACGTAGGGAACACAGAGGGCCCTGCCTTTGTGAAAATAATCTTCAGTGGAGAAGCCAGACAATAGACAAGTAAGAAAACCCAAGAATCTCTGGCAATATAAATGCTGTGAAAGAGAAAAGCATGGCCCAGGGGCCAGTCAAAGGAAAGCTCTCAGCACGAACACATGACTAACAAGAGAGGGACAGTGTGAGATGAAGGGACCACGCTGTCCCCTCCACTGGAGGGGGTGGACATGTGGTACTGCTGAAACAAACTCAGGAGAAAGACCTGAATACAGCTATGGAGGAGGAGAACTGACCCCAGAAAGACACAGAGTTAACTACAAGGCCACAGTAGCCAAAAGTATGGCTTCAGGATAGAGGGAGGGCAGCAGATAGGTAAGAGGGAGTGGTGGAGGACAGGAGGACATAGGGAAGAAGGGAGGGAGAGAAGAACGGAAGGACAGTAGGAGGGAGGAATGAGTCAGTGGGAGATTCTAGAGAGCCCTGCCTGAACAAGACCTCAGTGAGAGCAAAAGACCTCACTGTAAAAAGGAAACAATCTCCAGCTGGAAGTACAGAGAGAGAATGACAGAAAAAAAAATAAGGAAAGAATATTAAAAGCCACACCTGTACACAAACATGGTGAAAAGACTTATGTGTGAGCAGAGTCCCAGACCAAAAAAGAAAGAGAAAGAAAACAGTATTTAAAGAGTTAAAAGATGATGATTTTTCAAAACCGATGAAAGGTTATCAATCCCTAATTTCAGAAAGGTAGATCCACCCTAGAAAGAATCATCAGTGAAAACCATGCTGGGGTGTTGCATCCAAACTGCCAGAAGCCAAAGAAAGAAAAAATGTCCTAAAAGGAGCTGAAGGGGGGGGGGGGCAGAGGTTTTTAAAGATGTGTTACTCTCGGAAGAGCACTAAAACCTTCAAACTGTGGACTGACTCGCCACCAGCCAGGAAGAAAGCCCATGGTGATGAAGGACATCTGCAAAGATACCACAAAAGAAGAAAGTGGAGAATAAAGCATTGAAGATCCGTGAGAGTAAACTAGAAGACAATTACACGGTAAAGCAAAAGAAAGTAGAACAAATATGGAAAAATACACATAAAGCCAAAAGGCTTCCTAGAAAAGGTTAATGGGGTGTGAATGCACACACACACACACACACACACATACACTCAAGTGCACAAGGGAGTAATGACAGATTACTAATATTTTAATTACAGCTAATTAATAATTTCATGAATGAAGCAGAGACATCACTGTGGATCTTACAAGCTTGAAAGTGAAAAAAACATTTTAACCGTATAATTTATACCAATAACCTAAATTCAGATAAAATTGTCAAAGTCCTTGAAAAATATGTTGGCCAAACTGACAAAGAATAGAAGTTTCTAATTTAAAGCGCTTTTTACTGAACATATCATTTAAACCCTTCAGAAGTCTTCCCACTAGATTCTACTGTGTACTGAAGGAGACATAGCATCAATTGTGCACTCTTCAAAAGAGGAGAAGGCCAGCATCCAATGCAGGAGTGGCAACAGGAAAACCCCACCAGACAGTCTCCTCCACGAATCCAAATAAGATATAATGAATGAAACCCAGTCATATCACAGTCAAGAGGCTCATTCCAGGTGAAGAACTAGTTGAACATTCAAAAATCAATTACCTCAGAAAGCCTCTGTGGCTATTATGAAAGAATGGAGGTAGAAACAGGGTCAAAGAAATAAAACATCACCCACAAGCAGCTCTGCAGGCTGATTGTCATTGAATACAGGGACTTCCTCTTAGCCACACCAGCCAGGTGTGCTGCTCCAGGTGTGCTGGGGGACCTCAGCTGAAGCCTTCTACAGCTCAGACAATGGGAAGGGCAAAGAAGGCCTCCCCCGCAGAACATCCGAAGGCATGAGCTCGGGCTCCATTTTCTTCCTGGTTCATCCCGACTTGCCTGCCTCCCAGGCTAGCAGTGAGAGCACAAGAGACCAAGAGAGCCCCATGAAAGGCACGAGAGGCTGGACCATGCCTACAGGTGGGGCTTGGTTTTGGAAAGCCCGCACCTTGGGTCTACACACTCACCTGAGAGATGGGGGCTGGCTGCCCTGCCGCTTGAACGTTCTTTCCGACCACTCCTGGGTCACTCTGGAATTCCCACCAGGCAAGTACAGCTTCAAAGGTGTTGTGCTGGTTTCTGTGTGGCTGGACCCCAGTGGGTCATCCTCCGAAACACTTCTTAGCCTGGGCCTGTCCCTCTGGAACAGCCCTTGGCTGCTGGAAGAGGCATTTGGCTTCTCCGTAGGCAGTTCATCCAGCTGGCCCAGAGGACTCCTGGAGACAGAGTCACTGCTCGAAGTGGGGACCTCCTGTGGACCTGGACAGGCTGGGGTGTGGACAAGAGGCTCAGAGGGATACTGGCTTTCCTCTGGGGCCTGGAGCTTCCTGCTCAAGGATGAGGAACGTCTCAGAGAGCGTTTGCGGAAAGAGTCCTGGAGGGGTAAGAAAGGAGCCAGTGAGCTAGTGGAGCTCAGCTAGGGGAGCTAGAAAAATACTTTCTTAATTCCTTGTGATGGTTCCCCTCCTCCCCGCACCAGGAAGGTCTGTTCATACACCAACTCCTTCCTTTCTTTTTTCCTTTATTGAAAATGACATTTTTCATATAATATATTCTGATTACAGAGTGAGGACTACTCCTCCCTGTTCCTCCTACCTTCCCTCCCATATGGATCCACACCCTTTCTGTCTCTCCTTAGAAAACACAGGCACTAAGGAATAATACAAAATAAAATGATAAAACAAAACCAACGAATTGGAATAGACAAAACAACCAAACAAGAGCCAAAGAAGAAACCCAACAAATGCGCACAGATGCATAGATACACGTTCATACACACAAGAATCCACAAAACACACAATAATATATATGAAAGGACCTGTAAGGTTAAAAAAGAAAACGTCCTGACTTAACATAAAACAAAGATGCCACCGAGTTTGTTTTGTGTTGGCCTTCTACTGCTGGGCATGGGGTGTCCATGGAGACCCCAGCTCAGCAGCCTACACTTCCTTAGCACTCAAGATTCATCTATTTGAAAACAGGGGATCTAACAGAGTCGAGTGGACTACCCACCTCCTATTGGTGATTTGCTGAAGAAATGGGACCCTCTGCTAGTAACCAATGAGCAAATGGATGGGGGAGTGCTATAGAGACATGAAATACACCTGGCGCTTTTCCTTGGTTCAGACTTCAGGATCTATAAGCATTTCCAGAAACAACTCAGGGGCTAGTGGTAGCCTGAGCTACAATAAGGAGAGCTAATTTTGTAGTTTTCTGACCTCATGGAAATGACTAGGTTCTATAAATCTTCTCCAAAGCTGCCCAGGGTATAGCTGCATAGAGTGGTAAAGACATTAGTCACCATTCCCAAGGGGACACGTGAGGCCTCTTACCTCATCCACAACTTACTAATAAAAATTGACAAATACCCAGCAAGTGTTGAATCCTTTCTCTTGAACAACCAGCACATGTGGCCAAAATGCCAAACACCTACCAGAAAACCTAGGAAATTCCACAGCAACCACCATTCAAGGTGCTTCGCAGGATTCATATATCACAAAGGAAACCACCTCACTTCCCCCAAACAATTACCAAAGAAGTCTGCACAATGCCCTTAGGAGGAGGTGGATCCCATCACATCCTTCTCACCAGCCATGAAGTCCCAGCTGCCCACACTAAAGGAGTGAAGCATCTTCCTGGTGGGAGACAGGACCCTGGCACCCAGTGTACCACTGGTTCTCAAAGTGTGGTCCACTCACTTACTGTAGAGGTCCCCAGAACCTTTCAGGAGTTCAAAACAAATCTTAAAGTAACTAGATATTAGATATGACTTGAAGGTGTCCTCCAAGGTGCATATGCTGTGAGGCTGGTGGTGTTTAGGTGAAGGAGGCTTGAAACAATAGGGCCCAGCAGAAGGTAGCTGGGTCACAGGGGCACCACTCTTTGAAGGGATCAATACTGACCTCATGGGACCGGATAAATTTCTAAAAGAATGATTTGTTGTTGCGAAAGAACCTGGCGCCTCCCCCTGAGTCCCTGTTTCATACACAGCCTCCTCCTACTTGAACTCTTGCCATGATGGCTTCTGCCATACCATAATGTAGACCAAAGGTCTTCACGGGAGTCTGACCAGATGGGGGTCTTAACATTCTGAAACTCCAAAACTATGACCTAAATACCCCGATTATGGAATATCCATCCTCAGACACCTTGTTAGAGTTGCAGGCAACTGACTGAGACAGTAGAAATGTGACCCGATTTGCCTTTTCAGTATGACCATTGTACGCACAGCAACAGTAGGCAAAACTGGCTTTGAACACAAATCTAAACTTGAGAACTGATTTAAATGAAGAACGGGCCCACTGAAGCTTTCATTATTAAGCATTACTAGCCCCATTCCGTCTAGAGTGCACAGCACACATCTTTTCAGTATCCAGTGCAACCAAATGGGAGGGAAGATGTCCGCTCACCTAGAGGAGGACAGTGGCTACAGCTTGTGTAACCGTCTGTGAGTGAAGTGAACTTGCTGTTATTTTCAGGGAATGGCAGACAGACCATGCTGACTCAGACTTGGAATTTGGCAGGCATTTCTTGAAAATAAACTGAGCCTGTCACACCAAGGGAAACAAATGCTGTACTGTTTCCAGTGATAAAATACAAGTTGCAGTGTAAGAACCAGAACTTTCGGGAATCCTACATACACCAGTCATCAAGAACTTGGGGGATTGGAGGGACTTAAAATTCCTGAAATCTTTGGTGGTCACATCAACAAATGTGCTGTTTCTTATTTATTTTCTTCCATATAATGAACTGTGTCCCCATTCAAAAGCTCTATGTAACTCAGTAACCAATGTATTTCAAATGACTGGTGCATCATGCTACTTACACAGGAATAAAAGATTCAACATGCATGCCAGACCTATGGGAACTGATAAAAGTCCAAAAAGCACATTTGCGTGGTTTAAGGTTCCACATTAAGGCATGGGGATGCAGCTTAGTTTGACAGGGTACTTGCCTAGCAAAAATGAAGCCCTGGGTTTGAGCCCCAGTGCCGCATGTACCAAATGTGGTGACACACACTTTAATCCCAGCAGTTGGGAGACGGAAGCAGGAAGGTCAGAAACTCAAGACCATCCTCAGCTAGATAGCACGTCTGTGGCCAGTCTGGGCTACATGAGGCCAGAAGAGGGGGCCACATATCCCAGAGCTGGAGTTACAGGCAGTTATGAGCAACCCAAGATGGGTGCTGGGAACTGAATTCAGGTCCTCTAGAGGAGCAGCAAGTACACTTAAGCACTGAGCTATCTCTCCAGACCCAAGTTTGAATTTCCAGTACAGCAAATATCAAAGGATACAGTCGCATAAGCAAAAGCTATAGGGATCCTCAATGTTTAATGCACAAAGAGATCCTGAGGCTAAAAGGTCTGAGGGCCACTGCCGAAGTCTACACTGTCACCTAGATAGCCTCCCTCTGCCATGTCTCCAGCAGGGAGAGTAACATCCTGTCCCCGCTGAGGCAGTCCTAACATACAATTCTCATGCCAACTTCCAACCAGGGGTGCAGCAGTGCTCCCCACAGCCCTTGGGGGACTCTGCACCACTCCACCCTACAAAGGTCCATGAGCGAACACCATGTGCCACACACAAGAGTGACAGCCCTCGGGAGCCTCAGACTAACCCTAAGATAGCCAGCAGAGTCCCTCTCATGATTCCAGCACATCACTCCACTGGCGGTAACCATTCAAGGTACCCAGAGAGACCTGACAGAAAAATAAAGAGCACTAGGAGTGACTAGCGATGCCTGCCAGAGCAAGGCATTCATTAATTCATTACAAGATGGCACAATGTCTGAAAGCCACAGGTTTGCCACTCAGGGAGTAGGCGACTCCTCCTTCCACATTACGAGAAATCTCTTACATTCTGCTAGTAAGAATTATCCTTTCAAGACTCAACGCCTCCAAAGACTAAGTTTTCTCCTGACTTCTCTCCAACCTTGCTATCCACTTTCCTCTGCACAAGATCCAGTTTATGAGTTTCCTTCTTTGACAGATGCGTTGGGTGGGACACAGCACCAAGGTGTGGCATGGACCGCACAGAGGGCAGCAGACTCCTTCATCAACACACCAAGATGTGTGACCATAAGAACAGAGAAATGCCAGAGATTCCCAGGTGATTTCAGATAGTCGTCCAACAAGAACCTCAGCCAAGAGAAATGAAAACCTTGACCAAATGTTCCATGGGACTGGCTGAGGCAGGGAGAGGACCCCCACTTCTTTGTCCTAACCCCACAAGAGTGAAAAGATTAGTGCCAACACATTTATCCAGACATGGACACACAGCTAAGAGAGAAGGGAGGTGTCATTCCACAGACAACCAGCACTGGTCTACACGGCCCCTTACGTTTCTGATACTAAGTGTGATGCTGCTATTTTCCCCTTTATTGTTTAGAAAACTTCTATCACACTGTCCTCTTATTAGGAGTACCCTTCTACCTAATGACACCGAATCATGATCCCTCCCTAAAGAAAACCACCAAGCAATCAATGCAATTTTTCTGAAAGAAAGAAAAATGAAAATAAATGATAGCTTTAGGACCAGGGTTTCTACTCCCCTTTAACCATGGTGGTAAGCAAAGATATTGTCTAGACAAAGCCAGGAATGTGTGTCTTCACTCGCAGTAAGGGGAGATGAAATCAAAACATCCATTTCACTAACTCGGGTAGAGGGCAGGGAGGCAGCAAAGCCTACTGGAGATCCACAGGGTCACTGAATGTAGAGCCGATGAGAAACAGGCAGGCATTCTTCCTGTCCCCACAAGCATCCTTTTCTCAGCCAGCAGTGCCTAAAGCCAATCTCTCACTCCCTAGTCTATAGAAAACAGAAAGAAAGGCAGTCCCACCTGCGGGGAGCTGGCGACGGGCCCGGCCATCATGCCTCGGACAATCAGGCCAGACTTTGGCCTGGTCCTCTCCACTGGCCTCTTCATATCTATGCATGGCTCTGATGAATGAAGCTGCTCCATCTTATCCCACGCAGGAACCAAAGGGAGACTGTCACCCAGGACCGTGTGTGCAGGCTTACTTTTGTGTGGGCTTGTTTTGGATGATATGAAATTACCGAGTATGTTCCCATCAAGATTGTCATGCCTGCAAAAACATAATATTTCCATTAAGTTAGGGCCTCCAAGTGGATGATAATAATAAACCCTACAGTTAGTCATCATTCATGAATTTATAAATGGAAATGAGCCAAGGCTCTGTCGGCAGAGGTAAGGACTAGGAAGCACTTCTTTGCTATCAGGACAGGTGCAGCAGAGTACAAGCAAAGTCAGAGATGATGATCCACAAAGGGATCCTAAGTCCTAAAGGCTGAGGGGCATCTTGGATCGGGCAGACTCAAATGATAAAGGAGGAAAACTGCAGTCCAGGGATGGTTATGCGGAACTTGGCCTTGCTGCACATGGAGAGCACACCTGGGGCAAACATTTCCAGGTGTTCAGTAAAGCTGCATAGGTGTGTATACGTGTATTTGTGTGCTTGCAAGGCGGGAGGGGAGGGAAAGGACGCAAATGAAAAAAGCGAGAAACAATAAAATGGAGCAAGAAGTGCTCTCTTTTTGTGGCACCTCCTAGGTGGCCAGCCATGTCGAGATGAAACTCGACCTCTTGCTGTCAGAAACTCACTCAAATGGATGCTGAACACAAACTTTGTGCTTTCTATGAGAAGCGCAAGGCCACACACACTGCTGCTAATGCACCAGGTAAAGAGTGGACGGGTTATGTTGTCCAAACTAGTGGGAATGACAGACAAGGTTTGCCTATGAAGCAAGGTGTCTTGACCCAAGGCAGAATGCACCGGCGGTTGAGAAAGACATTCTTGTTATAGACTTAAGAACTGGAGACAGGAAGCTCAGGTCTGTTCAGGGACGCATGCTGATGCCAACCCAAGTGTTCTCAGCTGAGAGGAGGAGGAGGAAGAAGAAGGGGAGGAGGAAGAAGAGGAACAGGAAAAAGAAGAGGAGGAGGAGGAGGGAGAGGAGGAGGAGGACGAGAAGGAGGATTCCTGGACTGACTGACAGATTCTACCATGCCTCAGCAGTTGGGGCCCCGAAGAGCTATGAGAATCCTAAAGCCTTTCAATCTCTCTAAAGATGATGTCCTACACTATGTTGTCAGAAAGCTCTTAAACAAAGTAGGACGCCCAGCACCAAAGCACCCAAGATTCAGCACTCCATATATCCTGCAACACAGATGCCAACACTTGGCTCTGAAGAAACAACACACTAAGAAAAATGAGGAGACTACAGAAAATGCTAAACTTGTGGCCAAGAGATTGAAGGAAGCCGGTGAAAAGGGCTAGGAACGGAATGCCAAGAGATGTAGGCTGTTCTCACGAGGTGCTTCTACTTTGAAGTCTGAGACCAGTCAAAATCAAGTCTTTAAGAGTAACAAAGAAATGACCAGACCTTGAATCTCAAAAGAAAAAAAAGCAAGAAATGAGAGAAGACAGAACCGAGGTAAAAGGGAGCTTTGCCTGGGCTGCTCAGAGATCTGCAGTCCATTGACCCCAGATTTCTTCCCCAGGTCCCTGGTACACATAGTACTGACATCTACACTGTGTCACACCTCCAAGCAAGCTTTGGGTCACACATGAAAGCAGCAGTCACTTGTGCCATTGTTGGAAAATGTCAGTCAGAAGACAAGGCCAAGGAAGTATAGGCGGATCTGGAGAGACTACCTGGAGAGTTCCTGAAGCCCAGCACTAGGCCTGGGAGGGAACTAGCTCAGTGAGCAGTGGGGCTGGGCTGAGACAGACTTGCAAACTTGGGGCTTCTCCTAAAAGCTCCAGGAAGAGTCTCATGACCTTCAAGGAAGGTTGACCTGTCCCAGTGTGCACTGAGGAAAGCTCACACTGCCCAGGCCAGGGCAGAATCTGTGGGTGTACTGACCTCCTCAGGGAGCCCAGGACAGCACTCACAAGAGTTACGCAGGGAAAAAATATAGGTATATGAACAGAAGCCTTTGTCATCAGGTCAGGAAGGGCAAAATCATTTAACATGCCTGGGAACCAAGAGCTGACAGGATATGGGGGCGGGGGCGGAAGCATGATGGAAACCAAGGTGCATCAGGCTTGAGAAAACAGTAAGATTGAGACCTGGAGGTTTCAACGACCTCATTGTTGGTTTGGTCATTGTCTCAGAAATACTGATTACCCAACCAGGCAGCAAATGCCTTTATAGCAAAAGCCTTTACAAAGGGGGGCACCTTTATACCACTCTCCTGACCTTTCTTGTTTAATACCTCAGGTTACTTTACTATAGTGGCCTCACCCTTTCTTGGCTTGACATTCATGCACTGAGCTTTTCCAACCATCAGAAATAAAAGCTTTTCTGTCAATGGAAGAAAAGACCCATTCCCCAGAAGTTAATCCCACTATTGGTGACTTCATACAGTATGTGATCATGTAAGTTACACACACCATTGGAGACCACATGTACTGTATGATGTTGCAAATACCTAGAACTGTTCTCAAAATAATGAAGGTTCAATTATGAATACCATGTACCTGTCTCAAAGAAACTCAAAGCAAAACCCTGAACTTTAGGAATCACAGGATATAAAGTCATGCTCTTGAATCAGAAGTAAACACCATCACAAAACGGTTCACCCGCATAGCCTTTGCAGAAACTAGCATGGCTCTGTGACAGAGAATTAGAAACATACGGTGTGGTAAACTGAACAGTAGCACCCAAAGATGAGCATGTCCAGATCCCTCGAAGCTCTAACTATGAGATTTGTGTCAGTTAATCCTCACTGTCGACATGACTGGACTTAGAATCACCTGGAAGATTGGTGAGGCACACCTCTGGGTGCATCTGTGAGAGCATCTCCAGAAAGGTTTAACTGAATAGGAAAAGACCCACCCTGGTGTAGGCAAGACCATCCCATGTGCTGAGAAGAACAAAAGGGGTCAAAATGAATACACAGGCACTGAATCTAAGAGAAGGTAGCTTGTAAGCATGGCTGCCTCTTAGACCCAGCAAACACTCAGGGGCATCAACAAGTCACTGTGATTTGTTACAGCAGCAACACAAGCTACTGGGCAGAGTGAAGAGGATGGATACCTAGCTTTGCCTGCTTCTGACCATGATAATCGTCTTCCTGTGTCTTCATCTGAAAGATCATATATATTCACCAGTGTGGTCTCCGAGCATCTCGAAGGCAATTTATTATTTTTCTTTGGAACTGGGAGTGCAGGGATCAGGACTTCTTGACTTAAGTTGTCTGTGTTCCCAGAATGGTCCAGAAAATATCTGGTAATGAGCTCAAGGTTTGTTTTTAGAGGCTTTTCCTTTGCCTATCATTGGGAAGGAAAAAATATCATTAATTGAATGTACAGCATTAGAAGGGTGAAAAGATGACCATTCCAATTCTTTGACATAAGTTACCAGCTTCTCCATCATACTACACACATCCAGCAAGCACACACTTACTCTTGTGTACCAGGCACTGTACTGGGTAGGAATTCAGAGACAAAGACAAAATTTCTACTCTGAAAGAACTAACATCCTGTGATGTGAACAGAGGGCTAGCCAAAGCTAATCTCCTTTTGTATTCTTTCCCTATGGAAACAACTAGAAGAGAGATATCCTTTAATTTAGAAAATAGTCTTAATTTAATTTTGTATTACACTTCATTTATTAGGGGGATGCCACTGCAAGTGTGTGGAAATCAGAAGCCCACTTAGTCAACTCTCTCCTTCCACCATCTATAGTTGAGGCTTTCACATTTATTGGTGGGCATTATCTCTTAACCCTGGGATGTCAGTGTTTTTCAGCGTTGCCTGCATACGTATTTTCTTTAGAAGTTTTTTTAAAAAGATACATGACCAACTAAGACTTACTAAACCCAAACAGCAAGAACTAGAGGTTTGATTTCTCCCAAATAATCTGAACAGACACCTAGTTGTCTAAGCAGGGAGCCACAGGCTGGCTTCAGGAATCTGGCCATGTGTCAGTGCCACCCCAAGAGATTGGAGCTGGGAGCACCCTGTCCTGCTGAGCTGCGGCCAGACACAGGCTTGCATGGGGTGTACACCAAGTGAGAGCAGCCAAGTGTCCGATGAAGGGCCTGGTGTGGAGCCCTCAGCACAAGCCAAGTCCTTCCCTTGTTATTCCTCTCTGGCCAAGATCCATGACCAGTGGACAACCCTGAGTTCAATACCCTTATCAGATATTAAAGTCAGAAATAACATGTTTATTTACTCGGTTTTTATAAGACCAAAAAGTTTACTTTGTCTTGGTCTAAACTAAGATTAAAATAAATCAAGTTGAAGAAAACATGCAATTTATTTCAAATGTCTTGCCTTTTCTCTCAGTGAGGGGCTCTGGGGTCCTGGACTGCCCACATTACACTTCTGTGAGTTTTTATATCACTAAGCTCACTTCCTTGAGGTGAAGCTAATGCCATTTCCCCAAACCTCAGTCTTACATAAGTTTTCTTATCTATCACTTAACTGTCAAGGAAATCAAGGCGCTGGGAACATTCATACTGAACTATAGAGCTTCTTTAAAACATAGTCTCCCAATTTATTCTAGCATGGCTAAAAACTGTTTATGTCAAATAATTGGAAATTCACCCAGGTCTGATGATACCCTGAGTTTTGAAGATAATGGTTACTTTAGAGAGACTATGGTGTGGTGAAAAAATAAATGACATGATACTTCTGAGAAATTAGGTGAAATCAGTTGTACATAAAATCCCAGGACACCAAAACAGCTCTTTGGATTCTCTGGGCAAAGGTCCCAGTCCCCGTTAAACATCTCCCTCACATGAATATCCCAGGCCCATGCCTCCAAACCCAGCAAATGCAGGGCACATTGCTGCTACGTCACTGTATCCCTCATCCAGGACGCACACATGACTGTAAGGAGGCCAAGAGGACAAAGGTCCTTTGGGATGCCTCAGTCTCTGGTGGACCTCACTTGTCTCAAATGGGTCACAGGCAGAGTTGCTACAGGCTGAGGGCTACTGGCTGGGGTCTGCAGGCCAGCCTGCAGCACCATTTGCACTTACACAGGACGGCCTGACCACACCATACACTGTGGGTCCTCTCTGCCACACCATACACTGTGGGTTGGCTGTCAAGAGACCTGGAGATTTCTCTGGGTAGTCCAAATAATCTTGTGTTCGTTCTTACAAGTCCATTCAATGAATTAGGACTTCATTTCATGCTGTGGAATAATCCTCTTGTACACTGTAAACATTTGTCACTCCAATTGGTTTTGTAAAAGCGCTGTTTGGCCAGTAGCCAGGCAGGCGGTATAGGTGGGGCAAAGAGACTAAAGATGACAGGAAGGAGAAGAGCCGAGTGAGGAGTCGCCAGTCAGACGCAGAGGGAGCAGGAGATGATCATGCCATGCTAAGAAACATACTGCCACATGGCAGAGCATAAATAAGGAATCCGGGTTAACTTAAAATGTAAGATCTAGTTAGTAATAAGCCTGAGCCATTGACCAAGCATTTGTAATTAATATAAGCTTCTGAGTGTTTGTGAGAGGCTGTGGGACTCAGGAAATGTCCGACTACAGTTTCATTTTATTTATTTTTATGTGTGGGAGGGGTGGTGTGTCTGTGTGTTTATGTTACATGCATGTAAGTGTGCAGGTGTCCATGACAGTTCACGAGCATGTGCAGGCCAGAGGGGATGTCAGGTGCCATCCTTTATCATTGTCTGCCTTACCGCCTTGAGACAAGGTATCTCATTGCACAGGAAGCTGGCTGGCCAGCAAATTCCTAGGATCTGTCTTTCTCTACCCGCTAATTCTGGTATAAGAGGAAGCCAAGCCAGCTGTCTAAGTGGTTGCTAGAGACTCAAAGTCTTACCACCAAGCCATCTCCCCATTTCTTTGCTGCTGTTTTTCTGGTTTATTTGGGGGGGATTGTTTTTTGTTTTAGTTTTTCGAGACAGGGTTTCTCTGTGTAGCCCTGGCTGTCCTGGAACTCGCTCTGTAGACCAGGCTGTCCTTCCTCTAACTCACAAAGACCCACCTGCCTCTGCCTCCCGAGTGCTGGGAAGGGCTTCCTTTGAAAATCAATGTCTAGCCCCATGTTGGGCCTAGTGGTACACATACTGGTAATTCCAGTACTCAGAAAGACGAAGCAGAATTGCCGAGGTTTGAAGCTAGCCTGAACTACATAGTGAGTTTTGGCCCAGCCTTTGCTACAGAATAAGACTATGTCTCAAGAAACAGAAAAAAGAAAAAAAGAATCTCTACCCTAGCCCACAAATGGCTGTCAGATGTCAAATGGCTACTTTGACTCACAGCACTCTCCAGAGGGCAAACTCCCATCATGTCAGTGGGATCAGAGCTTCTCTCTGACCAGAGGGCCAAGGCAGAGTGTCCTCACTTTACTCACCATAGGATGGCTTCCCTTATGGCTCACATAGCAGAATTCTGTGTGAGTGTCACTTACAGCCTTGCTTTTTAAAGTGAGACATTAAATATGGGGACCCAATATGAAAAAGACACACAGTCTCTGCCATCGACTAAGTCAATGGGCCTGAGGGAGACAGACACTACCAAAACAAAATGTTCTACTTCATACACAGGGCATGGAAGAAGCCTCCAGGGCACTGTGATAGCAGCAGGTGTGGTAGGGGTCTGGACAGGGGACCTTCCATACCTCAAGAAAACATGTCCCCTTGGCTTGCTCAACTCCCACACCCCTGGGTGTGCTAAACCTACCATCCACCTCTGCTGACCTGTGTGTGTGTGTGTGTGTGTGTGTGTGTGTGTGTGTGCACGCTCGCGCGCGCACATAAATATGTATTGCATAATATATCCTTAAGCAGTCTTACTAAAAATACCATTGTGTGAGGGGAAAGAGGAGCGTGGAGAGCAACTGTCAGAGAACAGACATGGCAGGCCCAGACTCACCAGGGGACACTCAGTTCACTCTGAGGCTTGTCATCTTGGCCACCCCCCAAACCTCCTGCAAGGACACCACCTCAAAGGGCACGCACCTTGTTTTCCCTGTAGAGAAACTCCAGATGTAGAACTTTACGGAGATCGTTTCTGCTGTTGATACTGAGTTCACAGCGGGGGCGCTCCTGGTCCATGGTCACGAACGTCTTCTTCAAACCCTGAGGGAAGAAGTCTGAGTCACTGTGGGCCGTTAGAAATGAAAACCTTCCCTTCTCTGACGCACTATTAACAGAAAACTGCTGGGGCTCATTAGGATTGGGCTCGTCTGCCTTCCTTACACGGCCATGGCAGGGGTCCAAAGCTGTCTCAGAATTCATCTTAATAAAACCAATGGGCTTGATGGCTCTGTCAGTTTAGTGTGGGGTCAGCTAAGGCTGGGATTGCGGACTCATTTTATAAGTAACAATGAGGTCCAGGTAACCAGCTTGCCGAAAGCCAGTTCGGGTGCACTGTGTCTGGCCTAGACTTGGGGCCATGAAAGACAAACCTTTAAAAATAAACGGAAATTTGAAAAAAAAAAAAACACAGTCAAAAGGCCAACAATTGTTCCCTTAACCGTTCAGCTGAGGAAGCCAGGAGACATGTTTGAAGTCACATGATCCACATCGGTCTAGTCAGGAAACCCGACTGGCACCCAGTCCCCTACAGAGCAACTCATGGATATCTGCTACGTCACCAGCAAACCACTACCCATCACCCCCACCAACACCCAAAGACTAAGGTCTAGCGACAGTAACTGCACCTCCAGGAACTTGGCATCCTCGTTTGAGGACAGCCTCAACAGCTGCTTCCTCCCATCACAGGACACCTAGTGCCTACAGAAGATGTCTCAGCCTCTTCCTTCAGGGCCAGAGATATCCCTTGCTCCTGGCAGATCCCAGACTCCAACTTTTCCCTTGGCCTTTGTGCTCAGAACATTTTAGTAGCTCCAACTGCTGGAAAATAAAACCAAACCCACTGTTTTGCCGTGACTTTTGATGAAAAGGTGACTCTGGGAAAGAAAAGATACCCACACAGTGTTGAACCAGAGTGAATGAGGGTCTTAAGGAATAGCACAGAGAGACACAAATGTTGCCTGTTGGAGAAAAGATGGCTGGGTGAAAGAGGAGGCAGGCTCAGAAACAACCCCCAGAGCAGAAGCAATGGGAAAAGTAATTACAACTGGACATGGTGATATGCAACTCATAATTCCAAATACAGGAGTCAGAGGCAGCAGAAGCAAGAGTCTGGATACAGTGTGGGCTACATAGAGAGTTTCAAGACAGCCTGGGCTACATGGAGAGCTTGAAGAGAACCTGGGCAATGTAAACATGACCCTGTCTCAGAACCACTGCAACCACCAACACCAAAAACACAAGCAATTGCCCTACTCCATAGTTCTGGCTCTCTGTGATTTTGTGAGTATCTTAGTTTGGGTTTGTATTGCTATGATGAAACACCATGCCCAAAACAACTTGCGGGAGTGGGGTGGGGAGTTGTTATTTGGTTTACACTTCCATTCACTATTCATCACTGATGGAAGTTGGGACAGGAACTCAAACAGGGCAAGAATATGGAGGCAGGAGTTTCCATGCAGAAGCCATGGAAGGATGCTGCATACTGGCTTGCTCTCCATAGCTTGCTCAGCCTGCTTTCTTATAGAACCTAGAACCACCAGCCCAGGGATGGCACCACCCATAATGGGCTGGGCCCTCCCCCATCAATTAATTAAGGAAATGCACTACAGGCTTACATACTGTCTGATGTTATGGAGGTCCTCCTCTCAGATGACTTATATAGCTTATGTCAAGTTGATATAAAACTATCCAAAGATACCTCTTTTATACTTTTAGATAAAACAATAGGAGGAAGAGAAGGTCAGGCAGACAGATGGTTTCTGAGGTGTCATTCAGTGGGAGATCTGCTCGCTGGCCCTGTCTAGAGGTGAGACAAGCAGGTGTGACAGTGCAAATACAAGTAACAATGAGTGGTTAAGACAGAGTCCAGGACTGGTCCTGATCAATTCTGATCATGAGAGTCATCAGAAGAGCTTGGGAAGAAACAGACCTTGTCGCAGGACAGAACAGATGAAGGGAAATGTGCAGGAAATGCCAGGAGCAAGAGCGGGAATGTAAACAGGGCCAAGTGGTGGTTTCCCGGGATGTCAGTGAGGGATTTGGACTGCACTCAAGAAATGAAGGCTTCTCAGACACTTCTACATCTAATGCCCAGACTTAGCATCCATGCCAGCCTCTGAGCACTCATCACTGGTAAGTCAACTCTAACCCAAGACTCAGTGATAGAAGGTCAGAGCAAACACAATGAAGCCAGATGCATCACAAGTTTTCAAAATAAACACAAATCACTTTTTAAAAAGCATGCAAACATATCAAAACAGGTTCAGTCAGAGCTGGGGAAGCAAGTATAACGTTGAAAACCTATGTGCACATTGTATGTGAGTATCAGATCTAAAGCCTGAATGCTGACTGTATATCACTAATCCTCACTATACATACACGTGGGAGGAGTTTCAAAATTCCTGTTTATAGAGATGAGGTAGTAATGTCAAACTTACATCTATACTTTCACCATCTGACCTCAAATCCTTCCGCTTTGTTCCATTCAAACATGGGGTGTTTGTATGTATGTGTGTGTGTGTGTCTGTGTGTGTGTGTGTCTGTGTGTGTGTGTGTGTGTGTGTACGTCTCAAATAAGTGACCTTTGGTCCTAGTCCTTGGCCACTTGGTTTAAAATATAAATCAGTGCCCGACTCCTGGCATCCATGATGCACCCTCCTCTCCTAGACTCCACGGGATGCCCAAAATGCTCCTAACTTACAACACTTTGAAAACTCTTCTAGGACGAAACAACAAGAGATTTGCATAATTCTTCTACAAAAGTTCATGCAGCAGCTGGAATTTCCACTTTTGATTAAAACGACAAAAAGGAATGACTGTCCAGAACTTTCCTTTGAAGAAGTTTTTTCCTGGGGACATGCCCTGTGCCCCAGGCTGGGAGAACTTTCTCTGCCCTGGACACACTTGCCAAGCTGGCACGGCCATGACAATGGGTGCCAGGGGAGGGCAGCAGAGCAAGAGCCGGCCTGCCTCTATGGAAGTGTCCTCTAACTAGGAAGGACTGGCTTCTGGGAAATGTAGTTTCCCTGTCCCTGGAAAGGGGCTCTAGGGGTAGTCTGAGGCGAACAGGAGTAGAATGCTCCCCCACCCCCCGAAGGAGCAGAGATACTGAGGGAAACCCCAGGTGGCCCCCTTCCCAACACTAGAGCGGCCTCCAGGACTTCGGAGTGTCCAGCCATTACCTTTCTGCTCAGAAACTCCCTGACCAGGGAGGCGGCCACCTCCTCCACGTACAAGCTGTCCATGCTGCTGCCGCTGTCCCCAGGCCACGCGGCCTCCTGCAGCCCGGGACCACGGAATCCGTTGGGCCCAGTAAAGCTGCGTTGCCGTGGCGACGGTGGCCTCCGCACCAGGAAGAACTCCTCCCCTTCCTGGGGAACCAGCGTTCCAGGGGAGCAGGAGGAAAGAAGGGAGGAGCATCCTCCAAGCTCGGCAGCAGTTGAGGGCGGAGCATAGCTTGTGAGCTCAGGGAATCAGACTGACTCTGTCCTCCTGTGGTGGACTTCACTGCTCCAAATTTCTCCACACGTGTAATTAGGGAAGCACACCTACCTTGTGGTTCTTAAAGGTCTGAGCCGGCGGGAAAGTGTCCCCAACGATCCACCCTCAGGACTACGGTTGCCTCCCAGGCGTACTGACACAGACCTTAGTGGCCTGTCCTCTGTACAGCAAGGAGGCCAAGACTCCAATTCCCAGCATCTAGAAGCTGGAAGGGATGAAAATGGGCAAATCCCAGACTTTTGGCAGTCACTTGGGTACCACGTCAACGAACTCGCCCCGTTGTGCTGGTTTGATGGAGATGTCATAGTAAAATGCCACGGTTTGTGCCTTCAACAAGACTACGGTCCTGTAGTCTTATAGTCTCCAAGTTCATGATAGAGGTGTCACCGGGGCTTTTATTGCTTGAGACCCTTCTCATTGCCTCCCTCTTCTTTCTGTGTCTTTACAGAGCCTCCGTCTTAATGTGTCTGTGTGCTACTCAACACAGGGCACACAGAGTTAAGTGTCCACCATAACGACCTCATTTTTACCTTACCTTCAGATAGGTCACTTTCTGGATACAAGGCATTAAGACTTCAAACTATGAGCTTTAGGGTCTCAACTCAGCACATATCACCTATGCTACTACTTATATATTATTTTCTTTAAACCAATGTTTCTTATCTTTTCATAAAAGAGTACCCAGGCAGTAAGACCCACAAAAAAATGGTAGGTTTGTATGATTGTTAAATTCTAATAAACATTAAAACATTTACAAAATCAAAAAGGTATGTTTTTAATCTAAGATTGTCTCTGTGTTTGAATTACAGTTTTCCGGCATCCACACCTTCTAAACCAGCGAAGTTCTCTGCAAGGGCAATCTTGAACTTTCAGGGCTGCAAGAACTTAAATGTGCATAGAGTGAAGACGACAGTCGTGAGCATTACCAAGGTACCTGCTCTTTCAGATGCAAACGCGCACTAACAAATGTGTTCTAAAAACACAAGGCAGACTTCCATGCACAGGTAAGAGCTGGCATATCAAAAATGGCAATTGCTTGTCTTAGTTTTGCTTCCTGTTGCTGTGACAAAATACTGTGATCCACAGTTCCAGGTTACAGCTCACAAAAGTCACAGCAGCGGGACCTGGAGGGAGTTGGCCGTATCACATCCATAAACAAGAATAAAGTGTAATGAATACATTCATACTCAGACAATCTCTGTCAGAACACGGTCAAAGGAATGACCCGTGGTGAACAATGCCTGGGGGAACTGTGAGAGAGGCTCCAGGAAAAAAAGGCAGAGGGCCTTTTACCTCAGGTGCATTTTGTTCCCTGGATTGTTCTCAGACATGATTCCACGCCTCCTGTGACGAGCATTTACCTTTAATTCATAAGATATGTTCATTTTTGTTGTTGGATGTCAGAACACAGCTATAGAACGCAGTCTGGTCAGTGTGCTCTGAATCTGGACTTGGCCTTCTGTCTTGCTTTCATGCCTTCCCAGATAGAATCTATAGTACGTGCCAGGCAACTGGATTTCAAGTGCTGTGTCCTGAGAAAATTCCAGGAAAAGGCTGCTCTGTTAATATTTAGTGTGTGCATACTGGCCTTTATTTACATGTTTTCTGAACTCAAACAGCCTTCCTTAAATCGTTGCTCTCTTTTACATCCATGCATAAAAGCACACTGAAACTGAAGAAACGCTCTCTACGGCGTTAGACTGTGGTCCGCCCCGTTCTTTCAGGTCCTCAGATCCCAGGTCCAGCAGACAAGATCTGCACAGGTCAGCGGAAAGGTTGACAAACCACACTCTTTTTTTTAAGATGAATTTGTTTTTATTCTTTCTGTGTGTAATTTTGCTTGCATCCATGTATGTGTACCATGTACATTCACGGTGTGTTGGGATGTGAGGCCCAGTGTAACCTCCTGAGCCTGGCTAGAGTTTGGCCACCTGTCTCTGACCTGTAACCTCCACGTGGGGGTGACTCAGCCAGAGATGATGTAAGATTGTCCCTTGCCTAGCTACCTGCCAGCTTGGTGGAACATTATTGACCCTTACTCCTCAAATCACCTTACCCTATCCTATGATTCCCATCTCCTACCTCAGCCCTGTATAAGTTCATACCTGTTAAAATAGATTGAGATCCTGCTTCGACAGACTCCAGACTCAGTGTGTATCTCCCCCACCCCCATAACTAATGGGGGTAGGGTCTGAGTCATTGACACTCACCATCATGCTCAGCCCCAGGAAGAGACAGGCTGGACCAGCCCTTCCCCAGATCTACCTGCCAGAGGACCCGGCAGCGGTGCCCAGGGACACAGAAGAGGATGCTGGGTCCCCTTGAACTGGAGTTACAGATGCTTGGGGGTCACCATGCAGGTGCCTGGCACTGAGTCTGAATCCTCTGCAAGAACAACACAGAGCAATCTCTCTAGGCCACTTCTTCACTCTTACACAGTTCAGGGTCTCCTGTCTATGGGATGGTACCACCCGCAGTGGGCTGATCTTCCCACTTCTCACCATACTCAAAATTATCCCCCACAGCCAACCGAATCTAAATAATTCTAGAAACTTTGTTCCTAGGAAGCTCTAGACTGTGTCAAATTGACAGTTATAATCAGTCATCACAGTGTTGTATAAAAAAAATCAAAAGATACTGGGTATGGTGGCACATGCCTTCAAATGCAGCACTCAGGAGGCAGAGGCAGGTGGATCTCTGTGGGTTCCAGGCCAGCCATGGCTACATAGTGAGACTCTGTCTCAGAAAACAAAATCAAAGGAAATAAAGATATTCCTCTGTGGAGGTCAAGATCAAAGTCAAATCTAGGTGTGATGGTTAAACTTGCTTGTCAGCTTGACTGGGTCTGAGACACACTGAAAGGGCAAGCCACTGGGCACTCGTGCAAGAGATTCTCTGGGTGCTATTTGAAGTGGAAAGAATCACCTTTAATGTGGGAAGCACCTTAAGGAGCAGCCCAGATACAAAGGAGATGGAAGAAGGAAACTTTGCTTTTTGCCAACTTGCTTCTTTTCCGGATGACAAGTTCCTCTACCCTGTGGCTGCTACTACTGATTCTTTTGCTGATAATAAAATCAGTTTCTTTCAGCTTCTAAAGTAGACCAAAGGCCAGCAGCTCTTCAGGAATCCTCCAGGCCTTCAGCACTATATAGCCACAGCTGCCACATCCAGACTCATGAGAGCCTACTGAATTCTTGGCCTCCCCATCATGGAATAGCCATTTTTGAACTACCTAGACTACACTATATAAGACCATCTAATAAATCACCTTTTAATATATATTCATTCTATTGGTTCTGTCCTGGATTTGTCCATGCATTTGTTCTTATTTATTCATGACTTATTTATTAGTAAATGCATATTGAGCCATGTCATATGCAGAGTATACAGATGATAATAATTTAACACTGTAAAATATGTCTTCATTGAGAAAAGAGAAATGGGGAAAAATGGCAGAGATGGACAAAAGGAAAAGAAAATGAGCATAGCAGATATTTTATGCCACAGATTTAAAGGAGAGAAAACAGAAATAGGAGGGCTTTGGGCAGGCAGAGATTATACTTTTTTAAAGTGCATCACAGGGTTGGGGGGATGGCTCTGTCTGTAGAGTGTTTAACAAACACGAATGAGCACCATGGAAAAGGGGAAGCAGGATGGTTGTGCATACTGGTAACCCTGGAGTGGGGAGACGGAGACAGGCAGATCTCTGGGGCTTGCTTCCCAGGCAGCCTAGGCTGACCAGCAAGCCCCAGATCCCTGTCACATAAAACAAGGTAAACAGCTCCTGAGGATCAACATCCAAGATCGACTTCCAGCCTCTATGCATGGCTGTGCATACACCACACACACACACACACACACACACACACACACACACACACACACACACACCAGGTAGGATCGTATAATAATATTCCAGCCAATTCCAAAAGAAGAGAACACATAATCTCCGAGGAGACCTGGAGGAAGAGCACTCCAAACCCCAGTGCAAGGGCCCTGACAGGGCCTGAGTGCTTGGGAAACAGCAAAGGCCAGAAGGCAGAAAGAAAGGGAGGAAACATGGCATAACAGTCTGGGAAGAAGCAAAGATATCACAGAGTGACAGTGTGCCCCTCCCTTTGACTGCCAGACTGCTGAGACAATAGACCACAAGGAATTGGAATTTCCCCCAAGGAGTCTCACACTGGGGAAGGAAAAGGCTGGAGCCCTGATGCCAGACAGACAGGGAGCCTGTCTCCAGGGAAGAGATGGCACAAAGCTCTGACAACTCGTTGGTCCACCTTTCAGGAGAGACAAAAATGGGTGAACGATGGGCAGAGGCAACCCTTGACCGGAACTGCTGAGCTGTGCATACCTCTAGCCCTCTATTTGAACCTGAATCTCATGTTAGGATGCTGAAGATGATGGGCTCTCTCCTCACCCCCAGCGAGTGTCACTGGGCCTCTTTATTTACTCCTCTGCTAATTGTGGGCACACTGAGTATATCGTTTGCTACTTATGGAATATAGATTATTGAGCCTAGCCTAGCCTCTAACAACCCTAGACCCCATCAGCCTGCGCCCATCAGCAGAACTTATGTTCTTAGTCACAAGTGGGCACCCTTGGGAGAGTTGGGGCAAAGGAGGGATGCAAGCTAACTCATTTTGATCGTGTTCTTCTGGCTCTTTTGTTGACAATGGAATATAGAGGGACAAATCTGGAAGCAGGAAGACTAGGAAGGAGTTATAACAGCAACCTGGGAAAGGTCTAGTATGAGTATAGCAAGAGAAGGGAGAGAGAGAGAGGGAGAAAGAGCAAGGGAAGAAAAGAGCGATACAGAGAGGAGGATGGGAAAGAGAGAGAGAGAGAGAGAGAGAGAGAGAGAGAGAGAGAGAGAGAGAGAGAGAGAGAGAAGAGCTTGACTATAAGCATTCCCTCTGCTATGGTTCTGTCAAGTGTGAGTCAATGGGCTCCTATGTCTGTATGTCGCTAGTGCAGGGATGTGTGGAGCCCTGCTTGGTTCTGGCAGCAGGAAGCATCAGGTCCATTGGGAACTGGAACAAAAATGTGAGGCCTAACATGGAGGATCAGGAAGACCGAGTTGGGGGAAAAATAGAGAAGGAGATCAAGAAAAGAGATACCTTAATAGGGGGAACCATTATAGGTTTAAAGAGAAACCTGGCACTAGGAAAATGTCCAGAGATCCACAAGGTTGACCCCAACTAAGAATCTAAGCAAGAGTGGAGAGGCTACCTTAAATGCCCTTCCCCTATAATGATATTGATGGTTACCTTATATGCCATCCTAGAGCCTTCATCCAATAGCTGATGGAAGCAGTAGACACACACAGCTAAACACTGAGCCGAACTCCTGGAATCCAGTTTTAGAGAGGGAGGAGTGATGAGCAAAGGGGTCAAGACCATGCTGGGGAAACCCACAGAAACAGCTGACCTGAGCAAGTGGAAGCTCATGGACCACAATCTGACAACTGGGGAACCAGCATAGGACCAAACCAGGCCCTCTGAATGTCAGTTGGGAGGCCTGGGCAATCTATGGGGCCTTTGGCAGTGGAATCAATATTTATCCCTAGTGCACAAATGGGCTTTGAGAGCCCATTCCCTATAGAGGGATACTCTCTCGGCCTAGATACATGGGGAGGGCCTAGGTCCTGCCAAAACTGATATGTCAGACTTTGATGATCTCTCATGGGAGGCCTCACTCTCCCTGGGGAGTGTATGGGGTGTGGGATGGGGGATTGGTGGGAAATATGGGAAGACAAGGACAGGAGGGAGAGGTAACTGGGAATGGTATGTAAATTAAGATCGTCTTTAATTTAAATAAAAATCTATTTAAAATAAAAATTTGATGAAAATTTGTTTTCTGTTGTAAATCATATTGGCTTTAATAAACATGCCTTTTGATTTTGAACTGTAAAAAAAACAGATGTGAAGCCTGCTATACAGGACAGTTTTGTGAAAGTTGTCCCTTCACAGTGCTCCAGGAAGGACACTGACTAAAAATCCCTTCCAGTTCAAGACTCTTGAGGACAGTGCAGAGCTGGCTGTCTACCTCAGTTAGGACATTTTCAGAATACAAGCAAACACATTGACCCCACCACCATGCCATGCCCAGAGCCAAGAGATAGGAACATGGGTCTGGTGAGGTCAGCAAACTGGCCCAGTTCAGTGAGCAGGACATTGTGAAAGTCCTTTTGATGACTTGACTTTCAGAATTTCTCAGCTATTTAGTCTTGCCAGAGGTCAGTGGATCCTTCCAGTCAGCCATCCAGGCAGCATAAGAAATAGCTTATCCACACACTCCCTCATGGCCCTATCCTGGCAACCGATTCCCAATCTGTCCCTCTGCTGTATCCCCATGGCCACCAACATGAGCCTTTGAGACAGTCACAAACCCTGAAAGCCCTAAAGGATGAGATATGGTTTTGCACTCTACCTGGAGAAGTCCACTTCCACATTCTTTTTTTTTTTCTCCAGATTTATTTTGGTAAAAAAAATCAGATATAACCTTTCAAAAATTACATTAATGTTTAACATGCATTCAAATAACTTTCTTTTTTTTCCAGTTTAAATTTAGATAAGAAACGAGGTTGCTTCACAAGTCAGTTCCAGGTCCCGCTCCCATTCCCTCCCCTCCTCCCGTGCCCTCCCCCCAGCCCCCCCCCCCCCCCCCGTTATCCCCTCATTCCCCCAGGGAGGGTGAGGCCCTCCATGGGGGTGTCCATAGTCTGTCATTTCATATAGGGCAGGACCTAGACCCTTCCCCAAGAGTTCAGGGTGAGAGTGCACCTCACATTGTTCTATGGGAGTCCAAAGTCAGTGTGTATACTTGGGATGGGTACTGATCTGCTGCCCAAGGCTCAATAGGTTCCCTAGGCCTCCTCACTGACACCCAAATTCAGGGGGTATTGATCAGTCCCATGCTGGATTCCCAGGCTGATGCCTGGGATTCAAGAGTTAACCTTTGTCTAGTCAGTTGTTTCTGGGGGTTAAACCAGCCCAGTCTTAATCCCTTTGATCATCAGTCCTCCCTCTCTGTTACTGGCTTTCTTGAGTTCAGCTCAGTACTTAACCAGCCACTAAATGAAGTTTCTGTTTCCCAGACTCTCTGGCCATAGGATTGTAGGCTGGCACTCCCCAGATCTATGTCTGAAATCCATATATGAGAGAGTACATGCCATGTTTCTCTTTTTGTGACTGGGTTACCTCACTCAGGATGGTTTCTTCTAGTGTCATCCATTTGCCTGCGAATCTCATGATTCCATTATTTTTTTCTGCTGAATAGTACTCCATTGTGTAGATGTACCACATTTTCTCTATCCACTCTTCGGGTGAGGGACATCTAGGTTGCTTCCAAGTTCTGGCTATTACAAATAAAGCTGCTATGAACATAGTGGAACAGACATCTTTGTTGTATGAATGGGCATCTTTTGGATATATGCCTAAGAGTGGAGTTGCTGGGTCTTGTGGTAGGTTTATTCCCATTTTTCTGAGGAATCTCCATACTGATTTCCAAAGTGGCTGAACCAGTTGGCACTCCCACCAGCAATGGAGGAGTGTTCCCCTTTCACCACATCCTCTCCAGCATAAATTGTCATTGGTGTTTTTGATTTTAGCCATTCTGACAGGAGTGAGATGGTATCTCAGAGTTGTTTTGACTTGCATTTCCCGGATGGCTAAGGATGTTGAGCGCTTTCTCAAGTGCCTCTCAGCCATTTTAGACTCCTCTATTGAAAACTCTCTATTTAGTTCTGCAGCCCACTTTTTAATTGGGTCCTTTGCTGTTTTGGAGACTTGCTTCTTGAGTTCTTTGTAAATTTGGGAGATCAACCCTCTGTCAGATGTGGGATTAGTGAATATTTTTTCCCATTCTGTGGGCTGCCTTTTTGTCTTGCTGACTGTGTCCTTTGCCTTACAGAAGCTTCTCAGTTTCAGTAGGTCCCATTTATTAATTGTTGATCTCACTGTCTGTGCTACTGGTGTTATGTTCAGGAAGCTGTCTCCTGTACCAATTCGTTCAAGGGTACCACCCACTTTCTCTTCTAAGAGGTTCAGTGTGGCTGGATTTATGTTGAGGTCTTTGATCCATTTGGACTTAAGTTTTGTGCATGGCGATAAACATGGATCGATCCGCATTCTTCTACATGCCAGTCTCCAATTACGCCAGCACCATTTGTTGAAGATGCTTTCTTTATTCCATTGTATATTTTTAGCTTCTTTGTCAAAGATCAGATGTTCGTACGTGTGTGGGTTAATACCCGGATTTTCAATTCGATTCCATTGGT